GGGTATTTATAGGGGAGAGGAATGGGAAATGGACTTGACTTTTCCATGAGCCGGTGAGAACCCGGAAATTCTTCTCTGTCCAACCAGAGTATATAAAATGTCAAAATTAAATAAGTAAATACTACTTTAATCAGGATATTTTTTTTATTATCATTTTATGCAACTAAAATTTATAATAAACAAATAATTTTAATATAACATATTCTAATTAAAATTTATGATAAATATTTTTATTATTAAAATTATATTCTAATTTTATGATAAATAATTTATAATGTAATACAATATTAATTGTAACGTAATGATAATTATTTTAAAACAATATATTGAAATTTAATCGACCTCTATGTATTGTAATTATTTTAGCTTTGGTCTTTGAATAATTTGTAAAAGTATAAAAAAAAATGCATATTTATTAATCATATTTTTTTATTGGTAGTCATATGTTTGTAATGTTGCATTGGGATGACCATATAATCTAAATGAGAAAAATTTAAATGTTTGTCATATCTTAATGATACTAATGTGATCGTGCACTTAATGCATATTCTTATTAAATTCTATAAAAAAAAAAAAATGAAACCAAAAGAAAGTACTGTTTGCACTTAATACATCTAGATTGTCACTTAAAAAAATAATTTATATTTAAAATCATACTTTTAAAAAAAGTTATACAAGAGTATCATAAAAAATAAAAATAATTAAATCACTATTAATATATTTTTTATAATAAATATTTATTTTTTTAATCAAATAAAAATTAAGGTTATGTATACAAAGAGAATAAAAATATATAAATTAGGGTTGGACACATGTCCAAACGATTTAATGACTATTACTTTTAATTAAACTAAGGAAAAAGGTCAATTTGATTAAGATCACTAATCTGATTCGGATTTTAAAACTTCAAATTTGATAACATCGATATTAGAATGTAAAACTCAAACAAATTAATTTATATTAATTATTATTTTTATATTGTGTAATTTTATAATTTTAACATTTGAGTTTTGTTAAATTAAAACACAATTTTAATCTTTCAATATATAAGTTTTAATGATAATAAATTTATATGTTTTTCAAAAGAAATTTTTTCCCCAATCATATTATAACACGAATAATGATAAGATGATTAGTTATTTTTTACTTTAAACTTCTTTGATGAATTATTTCGTCTATAAAACAAAAGAATTTATTATATATATCATTTATATACTTGATAATCAAATCATTTTTGTCTATATTATTCCTTAATAGATTAAATTTGGTACCTCCATAAGGAACAAAATTAAAGACAAATGAAATAAGTTTGTGAAAGATGCTTAAGGATTTACAATGGTCATTTTTATAAAACACTTATATAAAAAAATTTGGAAATTAAAAAAGAATAGAGACTTACATACAACCATATTATTTGTAAAATTCAATATATTTTTTTTGTAAAAACAAATTGTACTTAATTAGTCGTATCACATATTAATAATAAGACCAAACAACATAATGACTTTTTAACTTAAATTTTGTGTTATTACTTTAAGTTTGAAAATACTTTTTTGTAAAACAACACTTGATTGTTGAAGTTTAGAGAGATTTTGTGTTCATAAAGAATACTTGGGTAATTATTTAAAGAGATAAGTGAATAATACTTAGATTGAGTTAGACGTGACTTGTGAATAAATATTTGTATCTTTGCAAAAGATAATGGAACTTGATAAAGTTGATAAAAAACTGAACATAATTTTGGTGATTGAGATGAATCACTATAAGAACATTGTATGTTTTTTTTTATTTAACTCTTCTTCTACACTCATAAGGAGTCGATACTACTTCATTATTTAAAAAAAATGTTGAACTTTTTTATTGACACTATTTAACCTTCCCTTTTAATATCTTTCTTTACTTCATAGTTTGGTATCAGAATTCAGTATTTGATGGGATTGAGCATCTAATTGTGGCAAAGGAAAAGATCCTAAGATGAGAAACAATGAAAGTAAGTACTTGCCTGAAGGAGTTTTCCTTACAAAGCCATCAATCTTTAATGGAGAAGGTTACACATATTGGAAGGACATGATAGAGATGTCCATCAAGTTCACCTAATATCATCTTTGAAAGATCATCACTAGAGGTGATGTTGTAGTAACCAAGGTAAAAAGTGAGTACACGTGAGATGACTATAACACCTTACAACTTGATACCAAAGTAAGATACATCTTGGTTTATTCCTTGTCAAGAATAAAGTACAACAAATTTTGTAGCTACAAAATTGTCAAAAAATGTGGAAAGTCATTAAGATAACTCATGAGGGAATTAAAATATTAGGCTCGAGTTGCTACTCTTCAAAAATACTATGAATTATTTTCTATAAAGGAGAATGAAATCATTGATAAAATATTTGAAAGATTTCAAATTACTTTTAATGGGATAAAATCTCTTGGAATTGAGTTTTCTATAATTCAATATTTTCAAAGATCTTGTATAATCTTCCAAAAATCTAAGAAGCTAAGGTTACCGTTATATAAGAAGTTCATTATCTTAAAATTCGTACTCTGTATGAATTCTTAGGAGTCTTGAGAGTTTATGAAGTCCATTTGATAACAGGATAATCTAAAAGCAAATGATTTTATTGCTCTAAAGATCGGTAAAACCAGCGAGAAGAAGGATAAGGGCAAAGCTTTGAAAGTTAAATCTGAACATTGCAACTCCAGACGTCTCCCTGTATGAGCATTGTACATAGTCTGATAATTACCACGCATTTGGTACTAGGGACGGAGCCAGGATTTCAATACTGGGGGGCCGAGAATAAATAATATATAATTTATAATAAATGAAAATTAAAGTATCAAAAGCATATAAAAAAAATATAAAAAAAAATTAAAATTGTTGGGGGGGCCGTGGCACCCGTAGGTCCCCCCTTGGCTCCGTCCTTGTTTGGTACCCACAATTGTGTAACGTATCGCTAATATTATCCTCCTGGATTACAGTCGTAAAAGACAATATATTCTTAATCAAATGTGTCTTGAGAATTTTAAGGAATGAATTGATTGAAGCCTTTGGTCGTAAGTAAACTACAACAGCTTACTCACATCACATACCACAAGGTGCAGCACAAATTATCAAATAGTTATTCTTATGTAACTGGATTGGTAACAAAATGATCCGATAGGAGCTAGCAACTGAAAGGAGCTTATATTACTTACGGATACTTCAGCCACATATATAGGCATACTTGTTGGACTGCCTCTTTTTGAAGACATGGTTGGTGCTCATCTTCTCCTGAGTAATCAGGACCTTCTCATTCCCATTAATAATGAAATACCCACCTTGATCGTATGGACACTCTCCAAGCTCTCACTCAATTTCTCTTCCAAATCCATGCTTCTTCTCTCTCTCTCCGATTACCGTTAGTTAGTTATCTTTCAGTGCGTGCTTTGGGAGTAAGAGAAAGCAAATTAGTTAGTTAGTTGGTTATGTTTGAGTTGAGCTTTTGGAATTCTGTTGCAGTGCGTGCGTTGGAAGAGAAACCAAAAATGGCGCGCTTTGTCCTTTGGTTCAAAATATACACGGCTGTTTACTCCTGTACCTATGTCGTCACGATGACGTGGTATTATTTCATCCTATTTTTTATTTTTAAAATTAATGAAAGACCATAATATAAAATCAAAATTATATTAACTTATATTTTTAAAAAGTTCTTAATTTTTAAACTTCTCTTTTTAAATTAAATTTCTCTTTTAAGAATAACTATCGTGATGTTATCGAATTCGCAGGTTAACACATTCTTAATTAAAGATAAATAGGTGTAGAAAGCTATTGTTATTCTTAATTAAATATAAAGGAAAGTTAGTACTTTTAGGTCAATAAAAAGTAAAAACCTCTATGCAATTTTTTAATTTTTTTTCTTCTAATTAACAGAAAAAAGACATTCAATGTCTCTGTTAAAAGATGATTTTTTTTACCGTAATTCAAGAATAAAATAGGTGTAAAAAAAGTTAAAGAATAAAATAAAATTAAAAAATAGATGTATGAACTAAAAAGAGATACTAATGTGAGAAAATGTGATTTTGAGAGGGTGAGAGAAGAGAAAAGATATATTATTAGTCGTACAAAATAAATAATGAGCAAAAAGTTATGTATAAAATAAAATCAAAAGTTATTACTAAAAATATTTTTATTTATAAAAAGGTATAAACTAAAGAAGATTAATTTGATTTTTTTAAAAAAGATAGATATGTCACTCTTATAAAATAATAAAAAAATACTTAGATAATTTTTATTTAATAATAAACTAATGATAAGGTTTTAAAAAAAATGTGTCACGTTAATAAGTTATTGACTTAATTATTTGTTTAAGAAGTTTAATATTTATATTCATTAACCAATAATTTAATTCTTAATTTAAACATGAAACCATAACTACATAAATTAATTTACTCATAAAAGGACAAATATGATAAGAAATAATAACAACGATTTTAAATTGTGAAATAATATTTATATATTATTTTTGAACTTAACCCAACCAGCTTATATTTCTACAACAAGGTTCAACAATACAAAAATATTGATATTTATTGTCTTTGAACCTTGTTGTACCATTCTAAAAGTTGAATTCAACTTTTTTACTTATTTTTAATATTATAATATTTCAATTCACTTATAATCTTCACTAACTTTATACTTTTAATGACCGAATTTTTTATATATATATATTTTTAAAAATTGATGAAAAATTTAACTCAATTTTATTTGATTATGCTCCAAATTTGAAAAGAATCATACTTGTTTAATGTTTAAATATAACTACTTATGTTGTGTAAGAATAAATAGAACTTCATAGATTTAATTTTTATTTTTAAATGATAAATCCTATGAGTGGCAGCAGTGTTTTTATTAGTCTACAGTAAGTAGAAGGATGGCGCATATGGGCCACAAGTTGATGGGCTGAGTCCAAACACAGTGTAGTCTAGGACCGAAGCTCGGAATTAGAAGGAAGAGAGAGGCAGGATTTTATAATTATTTGAAGAAGTGAAAAGGTAGTGTAGTGGTGTTGTCTTGGTGATAAATAGAGCATGATCAGGCACGAAACAGGAGCCACAACCTCAACCTGCTACCTGCTACCTGCTACCTGCTACCTGTTGCCGTGTCTGTCTCTGTTAAGGGAAAATGGGCACTTCAGGGGTTGTCATGTTCACCACACACTTCTTCTCACCTCTTTCTCAATCTCAACTTCGGACTTCGTCACGCGTTCCTCCCCGCATTCGCTGCTCAGCTTCTTCTACTTCTGAGCTTACCCCAGGTGAATGAGTTATCAACTTCTTTGTGTTGTCATTCGCAAGGTTTTATTCTTGTGACTGGATAATTCGTGGCTTCAGCTCTGATTTTCGTTTTTCTTTGTGTGATTGGCTGTTGCTCACGTTTATACTACATGTTAGGAACATGCCTGTGTTTGTTTTTGTTTCCTCAACTTTTTATCTGTGGCTAAATTTGTTTTGTGTAGTTAAGATGAAAAAGGCTATTCGCTTTGTAGTTATTCTGCCCGCATTTCTTCAACTTGTGTTTGTTAAAACTCAATGGTTCATGCCAACTTCAGAGGGTGAATGAGGGCCCCCGGGGGCTGTTTTTAAAGAAATAGAATAAACCATCTCTTTGGTCTCCCCAGTATTACCCTCTTTCCTAAGTAGTCTCTACCCTAAAGTAATAAAGTTATTTGATTAATCCTTCAATTATTGAATATCAACTGCTTTGGTTCCTAAGTTACTTAATTTTAGTAAAGTTCAGAGATCAATTTGAAGGATCTTTTAATACCTGGGATGGGAGATTGTTTAGCAAGTTTTCTAATACTTGAGAGATTGTTTATATATATTTATATCCTTGAGGGACCAGTTATGAAAGAAGGTAATATTTCAAGGATGAAATTGATGGTTTATTCTAAAGAAATATGTGGAATGGTTATGTTCTTAATTTGAAGTTTCTAAACTAGGATAGTGACTCATACTGCTTGCCGGTGGTGGTTTGAGGCACTAAAGCTTGTTTTGCGCAGAAATTTCAGGATTTTGCTAGTATACAATTGATTTGATGTGCAGTAGTTTAGTACCATAATATTTCACCAGGTTACTGGATGAATTCCGTCTTCATTTACCATAGTATAGTCAATAGTGTTACTGGTAATGATCCACCTGTAGATAACCAGTTGAAAATATACTTCGGAAGATCCGACTCAAGAAATTGTTGTGCACATTTACAAGTTTGATTTCATTGATTTGGCCTTGATTCTAGAATTAGCTGTCAAAATCTCTATGGTATTAAGCGTGACTCTAAAGTATCCACAGAAAACCTTGTAGATATTTATTCCAACTTGGATTAAAGTTGATTTTCTGGTGAACTCAAGCAGATAAACTTCCAGTTAGTACTTCTGTAACTGGTGGCGCATATGATTTTGCTAAAGCAACAACATCACTGACAAATGAGTTAATCTCTTCACCAAAGAGAGTGACTCTTTTAAGGCATGGTCTTAGCACTTGGAATTCAGAAAGTAGGATTCAGGTTTGCATTCTACTTTTATGTTATTAGCTTTGCTATGGATTTGCAGGAATGGTGGCTGTGGTTTGCAAATGTGTGGATAATTTATCGTCTCCTTTCATGTTCTCATCTTAAAATGCCTTGTTAATCATTTAAACTGTACTGAGAGCTGTTAAAAATTTTGAGTAGCCTTGTCTTTTAGGACTGAAGTTTTTGTTTTCTGTTTCTATGTTTCACATTTGACATCATTCACTACATATGCCCTCCACTGTTATTAAGTTGATCATGTGTGTTCAGGGAAGCTCAGATTTGTCTATATTAACTGAAGTTGGGGAAGAGCAAGCAGAAAGGTGCAAGAAAGCCTTGGAAAATATTTACTTTGACCAGTGTTTTGCAAGTCCAATATCTCGTGCCAAGGTTAGGGGTTACTAAAATTTTAATTCTCAAGCTTGCTAATACCGATCCTCATTTTATTAAAATGGTTTGGGGTTGTTTGATGTAGCAAACTGCTGAAATTATATGGAAAGGGAGGGAAACGCCATTGGTTTATCTTGATTCGCTTAAAGAGATATCTCTATATCACCTTGAAGGCATGAAAAATGGTGAGTCTGCCTCTGCTCAACTAGAAAATTCCAAACAAGTATCTCTTAATATGTTTAGGGATTTTCTTATATATTAATATTATATGAATATCAATAATACTTTTTTTCCCCCAAAAATTCTTTTTGTTTTACCAATGTCCTACTATAATTACTTTTTTTTTTCTTTGTTGTATTTTGAGATATTCATATTTTTTCCTCAATTCATTCTTCCATGAATTGCTTTAAAAAAAGTTAATTAAAATTCAAGATCTAATTAATTGATTAATTGAAAATTACTCTTCAATTTAATGAATTTGTGACTTCCAATCATAATCGTATTCCAATTTAAATCAAGATGGATACACCTCTACTTTGTCACTTATACACTTTCTTACTTTAGAAGAGCCAAATCCATATTTTACATTGTATTTGTCATATTAATAATTTAATATTGAGATTTTTCAATTGTTTATTATCTTATTATTATTATTTACAGTTAACTTTTTTTTTCTTTATTGGAAAAATAGCTTCACTTGTTAAAGTTAATGCTACAAAATGTTGTTAATATGTTTTCATTTTATATCACTGTTAAATCTGTATCATTCCCGCCATTCTTTATAAAAAACTAAATCAGTATGTTCCTAATTTGGAGGCAGTGGATGCTAGGAAAATATATCCCAAAGAGTATACAATCTGGAGGGAAGATCCAGCCAGTTTTCACATGAATGGTAGATATCCTGTACGAGATCTCTGGATAGCTGCCAGAGATTGCTGGAAGGAAATGTTGTTGTCTCCTGTAAGATTTCTTTGTCGTTAACACCTAGTTTTGCATGTAATGATTTGAAAATGAAGTTTATGATTTATCTTATTCTTCAGGGAGAAAGCTTTCTGGTCGTGACTCACAAATCTATATTGAGGGCTTTAACTTGCACTGCTTTAGGTTTGGGCCCAGAGAGGTAAGAATTTCTGGTTATACAATAAAGTGTTTTAAGTTTTTAAACTGATTTTGGGTCCACTTAGGGGTAAATGTACTTATGTTGTGATTTTCATTTTACTGGTTATTTTTCTAGTTAAAAGAAATGCCAAATTTTTAGGCTGGATAACTTCATATTCATATAGTGTTGATAGTTTTATTATGGTATTTCTGTTGATTGTAATAAATGTTGAATGTCAAAAGATAGTATGGATTTCAATAGCCCTCTTTCCATTTTGTTGATTATTGTTTGTCTCAGTTACTTGTCTAGATTACAGAAATAAATTATTGATTGAATGTTTAAAGCTTAAAATTTCAATATCTTGATATCAATAGCAATTGACATGTTGACATTGATCGTAATGTTCAGGTTTCGTTCCATTGATATCAACAATGGTGGGATATGTGTGTTCAACTTCAATGTCAGAGGAGAAGCGATGCTTGAAGCTTTAAATATGACGTCTCACATGTACAGTGATCATGTCTATCCTGGCTAGTGCAAACTAACATGGGGAAGACAACGATTATCATTTTAATCGTTCATTGAAATATACCACTGAATATTCGATGTGGATTTTTTCGTTTTAAACTTTTAATTATATGAACTTCAGAATCCGTGGCAAGTGGGTGGATCCAACCATGAAGCAGGTTCGTCAATGCCTTTTTTGTAGCAGGGGGGTTTAACATATCCGATTGAAATGGCAACCCCCTGCCCCCTTGATATAAAATATAGATGGAGAAATTAAAGTATAATTTGTGCAAATGAATGATGTTAATTCCAACACCAGGTGTACTGAGATTATTCAATCTCCTCATTTTTTAATAAATATTGTTTGACGTCGTGCAAAATCTAGCAAACTCATCATTCTTATTTCGATAAATATTGTTCAATGTTATTCATTAATTTATTTCACATGAAGATTTATGTTTCTATCTTGTCTAGGGATCAAAATAAGTTAAGTTTGGAAGGAGGAATGTTTGTATTGCAGTGCAATAATGAAGATTTATTGATAAGGTTGAAATTTCTAATTACTATTAATTTTCGATTGCTGACGTTAGCGTTGCCGTGCGGGTAAGGTAAGTATAGCACAACTGTCTTAATGTGGGGAATGTTATCTGTTGCACAGGAACATATGATGTTTGGCATGGAGTTCGCGGTTATTGGTGTTCAATGACTTCAATGAATGAAACTTTTCCGTTAAATTATAGCATGTGGGGGCCAACTTCATGTAATGTTTGTTTCTGTCTTTATTTACATGTGGCCATTACAAGCATGAGACAAGAGCATGTATATGCTTTTGTTCAATCACTCAATCATACCAATAATCACATTTCACAGCGGTGTCCGGAGGAGCTTCACCTTGTTCTGTCCAGGCTTTGCAAGATGGATAACTACTTAGGTTTATTTAATGAATAAATAAATAATGTATGTTTTCCATGTCTAAACAGATCTTTTATAATTTTTTTTTTGCCTGATTAAGTACACAAACATGATTAGTTGTGGTAGGCCCTCAAGAAAGAAAGAAATTCCTTAAGAACAAAAAACAAGGTTCTTAATTAGAAAATGACGAATATTATTGTATTCCATCTCCACTAAGGAATTTAATTAAAGGTGTGGGGATGCCTTTTTAGTCTGATTAAACCAAACTTGAAATGATCAATAGTACATAAAGCAAAGTGAAAGTGATAACATATAATAGATAGAAAAATTCTACATTTTCCGAAATCGCAGTCCAAATATGTTCCGAATACTTAAAAAATGAATTTAAATTATAAAATATTAAATTAAATAATTATTTTATAATAAATTTATTAAAAAATATACATATTTTAAACATTCGGAACGTGTTTGTATTTTTTTGGGAGGATGTAGTACTTCTCTAATAGATAAGGTAAAGTTTTTGATGGACACAACAGAAAGGTATTCGGGCTAAAACAACAATAAACAATCGGAAGCAGATGGAGGCCACGTGCCGCACGTGCTGCTGTACAGCAAATTTTACCATCAATTATTTAATCTGAATTATAATAGTCCCAAGCAGAGATTCTCCCTCGTTTGTACATTCTTCATAAAAAAATTCAAAATCAACGCATGCATTCCCCAACGTCACACTCACTCAGATCAGAGCCGTCGTTTATTCATCATCACAAACGGACCCTAACACCTGCCCGTTCGTGTCCCACCAACACCCACGCGCGTCCTTTCACGATAATTAATGATATAAGTTATCTAGTTTGGATACAAAAATACAAGAAAATAAGGAAATAAATTGTTTTATTTTTTTATTATATTAATTTCGATTATTTTGTGTGCTTTTCTAAAAATATTTTATCCACTTTGCGTAGTTGTACACACCATAAATACTAATTACAATTTCTCTGAGTAGTTGTACACGCCATAAATACTAATTACAATTTCTCTGAATTGAAACGCTACTGGTGGGTCCCACGCCAAATTCCCCACTCAAAACCACCGTAATTGGAGCGTGCGTTCCACTGTGTCCCCAAGCGCGTGGAAACCAAAGAGCCCCAAAGTGAAATTAAAAGTTTCAGTTCTTTTTCGTATACGCTTGCATCTCCTCTTCCTCACTCGCTTCAGAGTTCAGACGAGTGAACCAAAACACTTGGGCTTCGCAGTTCGCTCCAACGCTCTTTCTTCCTTCCGCCGTACCAAACACAGCGAGAGAAACTCAAAACCAAAGCAGAACGAGAACATGCAGAGAAAATGAAAAAGAAGCAAAAAACCGCAGCTAACTTAAATAATGTCTTCACTAACGGTTTAGTTAGCAACTAACCGTAACTCCGTCGTTTCCGTTACTATGTATTTAAGACAGCGTACCGCCGCCGCGCGAGGCGGCGTCGGGAACCAGCAGCCGCCGCCG